GGGTGATACTGTTTAGCAGGCAATATAATCAACAGAAGTATGGCCGCTCGGAAATAATTCTCTGGTGGTTTCGTGCACGTTGAAGGTTCAATGCAAATACACGTGTTATTGATTTCCATACGGACACTAATGTAAACAACCTGGTCGGGTTAATAAAATGTTTATAAATAATAATCAAGTGTAATGTGTATGTACCCATGAAATACTGGAATAACAAGGACAGTGCTTTGTCGAGCATCTCCAGTGGCTTGTAGATTACAAATAAATGAGAAAATATCAAATTCACGACTACCATGTACAGCACGTGCGCACAACACTGCGGTTCTTTTTTCTCACTATGATTACCTAACCTATGTAATTAAAAAACACATTTGTCGATTTAAATTTCTGCTTGTTTTTACCTGATTGCTTTTGTTGTTAATGTTGTTGATAATCTTTATTATTTTAATGACATGTTCATTGCCATAGCACAGTCATGAGAAAACAAGGAGTTCCAAAGGTAGAGTCAACGCCTATGGATATTTAACATTATCGTCGGCCCCCGCTTGGAATTTAAAAACAAGATATATCCAAAAAGGTATGGGTATAGGAAGCTTAAATCAGGAACAGTGAGTTTCAGAACTACTTTTATGATAAATGGGACCTCACCGATTTACACCTGTGTGGGTGTTAAAGGTGCGGTAATACAATTCCTCCTAGAGCATTTAAATGACACAATTACCTTAACATTATATCATCATCGTGTGCAACATAGTCCAGCTGTTATTTCGATACCAAATATAACATTATTTCAATGAAGAATTGTTCTTTTTATTGAAAATTAAAGCAGAAAAGTATGTGAAATTGTATTACTAATGAGCAAATTTCCATTTTTGACACGTTAATTTGAATAGTTCTAGAACTAGTCTATTTTTCATACTTGATTAAAAGTTGGCTACCAATAATATCTTTCAACATCAGGAATTTCAAAAATAATCACAACCGGTTTTGTCATATAACACGATTGATTCAAAAAAAGAAAAACAGAGCTTTCTTTCCACTTTTTCTTTAGCTTGTGTTTCTTCAGGACCGTAGGTCATTGGGTTTTGATATTTGGCAAGTAGGTTGTTCATGTTAATGGTTTGAAGTTTTGTAAACGTTGATGACCTCAAATGTGCTAAAAATATGTTTGTATGGGGAGTCAGACAAGGATATCTTTCCTTGCTTTATTTGTTAAGAGTTAACGATATAAATAAATGTAATACTCCTTCATATTTTGTTTAATGAATGACAATAAGCAAAAAAAATATAATAATAACTAGAACTGTAAGCCAAAGACTAACTAATATCCCCTCTCCTATATAAACCAAAACTGTAAGCTTAATGCTAACTAAGGCAAAGCATTGCAAAGCTATCCATAGTCTCCCACCAGTAATTATTTAAGTATATATGTCACTGACATACTTCATGTACTCCCTCTCTATGCCAAAACATACTTCCATACCAAATCTTGTTATCCCAGATGAACCAGTTTTGCTGAATCGTCCTAGTAGTTAAGAAAGAGTTGTCGAGTCAAAGATTTTTAACAAAGGGACATAACTTCTCCAAAAGGGTCGAAATGAAACAAATACTACCCAGATGCACGTACCCTGATGCACGACATCAGGGGGTAATTACCATATCTATAAACATTCATTGAAATCGGCCCAGAAATTTATGAGGCAGACACAGTTTTTTTTTAACAATGGGCCATAACTCCTTTTTAAAGGGTCTGAATGAAAACATACTACTTGGATGCACAATGTCAGGGGGCAGTTACCATATCTGTAAACTTCCGTTGAAATTGGCCCTTTAGTTTTGGAGGAGTTGTCTGGACAAGGATTATTCAACAAAGGGCCATTACTCCTAAAAAGGGTCAGATTGAACAAAATAATACCTGGATGCACACCATCAGGTGGTAGTAACCATATATCTGGAAACTTTCGCTGAAATTCACCCCTTAGTTTTGGAGGATATGTCCGGTCAAGGACTTTTCAACAAAGGGCCATCACTATGTAAAAAGGGTCAGAATGAAAACATAATGCCTGGTTGCACAACTGCAATTGTTAGTTATTATATCTGGAATTTTTCGTTGAAATTGGTCCACTTCTTTAGAAGGAGTTGTCCGGACAAACGTTTTCTACGGACAGTCAGGCGGACGGACAGGCTGATTCCAATATCCCCCTCCCTAACTTCTTTGCGGGGAGTATAATAAAGTGTATAAAAGTTTTAATATTATGATTATTTTATTGTTTTTATAAAATTGCATATCTTTTTCTATAACACAATCATAAGCTTACTAGTAAGTAGTTCTCCAGAGGAAAGATTATTTTGGCAGAATATATATTCATGAGTTATTACTGCTGCACATAAACTTGAACCACGCGTAAAATAATAAAATGTTTTGGTATGATACAAAAACAGAAAACGTATCGGTATTTAACATCATAAACATTGATAATCAAATCTTCAAGATTATGTGGAATTGGCATTGATCATGTTTGGCATGCTAAAAATGTAATTTACCGGTTTTGATATTACATAAAAATGAGTCTGTAGACAGAATTCATATACGGAAAGTTTTTTAAGAAGTTTATAATCTAAACTACCATTGTAACTATATATAGGCAAGTTGACAATGTTGGTAATATTTCAAAAGTTTTGAAACTTTTGCACTTTTTTTTTATTATTAAAGGTATCACTACACTTTCTTCAAGTATACCAATATGACATATTTAGTACCAAAATAACAGTAATTTTCTACAGTATACACTTTCATAATTCATTTTCAAAATAACATTCGCCTGTGACATGTATCTGTCATTTTGTTAGGTAACCCCCGTCACTCAAACTGGTGTTATGCAAGGAGGTCCGCTACGGTTATCAGTAGCATTTATGAATAATCATTTATGCAGTTATTGATCATTTTTATGTACAAATGTATCTACATATGGCAATAGAATATAAGAAATCAAAGTGGGGGCCAAATGTTGACCCCACCTTTCCATTGTCCATCTGTACAAAATAATTCAGTATATATACTATATTTCCTCAACGACTGTACACAGGTCATCCGCGGTAAGGGGCTTAAAATAATTACTAACAGGTTAATTACACAACATCGATGAACTGCTTTTATGCCTTGTTGTAAATCCAGGAAATATAGATTTAGGTTGGATTGAAGTTAGCTCACATCAGATGAAAACCCTACCAGTATTTCCGGTATGGAACAAACACTCCTAAGGAAGATTACAGTGTTTTGATTGTGTTTATAGCGTTTCCTTGACCACTTCATTTGATCTAATCAACCAATGGGTCGTTTATATTGGCTAGCACGAGATAAAAAGAGTTTTTCGGTTTAATCCCATTATGCATACAATGTCGTAATATTGATTAATAGGTATTTTCTTGAGATCCTCTTAGTGTTATTGAATGTCCCTGTACTACTCGATATTCTGCGGAATTATCAACCGAGGAAGAAAATATAACTATAAACAATAACCCTTTATATTGGTTCTGGAAATCAACAGTTGGTGAAGACGCCGAAGGTGACCGTTCATTGAAGTCATCTTATTGTTTATTTTAGTATCACTGTACTAGAACCTTGTCGATTTCTTGGAACTACTTTTACATGATATATTTTGGGGGTTGAATCATTGTGGCCTTGTACAATCAGTGCAGGTGCTTTGAGAGTCCTTACCGTAACGTCAATTTTCTACAAGTGCTTACCACCAACGTCAAACTATTTTCTCCAATAGATACTCTGTTTTATTGTAAATCCGAATGGTACGTGCCTTAATGACAAGCTAGATTGTCAGCGACGACGGTTAAAATCCTAGACATAACGTCTAGCGTGGGTAGTGGCTAGATGGGTGCGCTCTCACATTTCATACTGTTTGTAGGTGTTAACATTGTATCCGCCTTTATAAATACACAGCCAACGTATTCCTGTTATATTAACGGTCAATTTATCCACGGATGTTAATTTCACTGGAAATTGGTTATAAAGGTAGAGGCCAAAATTTATTTTCATATTAACAAATATATAAGTATGAAACAAGTTATTTCAACTTATATAAATCATTCCTGTTGGCCCGGATGGTAGCGAGCGGCGGGTCTTATTGCGGGAGGGAGCCGGAGTAAACGGAGAAAACCGAAGTGTTCGGGCGGGTGACCCCAAACATTTTCACGTCCGATCGGCCCCTAATACGTAAATACAGAGTCGACTGTTCAGCTGTTTGACATTTTTATTTAGTAAAACATATTTTCAACAAATATGAAATGTAATGAAAATAGATTTCAAAATAATACACTTAAAACACTTTAACGTGAAATATTTTGAATACAAAACATATGTACTTTATTGATTTGCAGACACTTGTAACAATCATGAGATGAATCAATATGTGAAATATGTCTGGTTCGTACCTATCTGCATTCAGATCAATATCACTGTAGCATACATGGTGTAAGTCGGAACATTTAGACTTTGTACAGCATTCCCTTTTAGAAGTTTGTTACTATCGGCCAATTGTTTTCTATTTCTGACCTTTCCAATAATGCACTAAAGCGTTATACAGGAACTTAAAGCACAGCAATATAAAACACAGCAATATAATAACAAATGTCAAAATAAAAACCCCAGTGGAAGCTGAAGAGATACCTTAAGGAGCCTCGAGTCACCACTTTTTTTTGGTTGGAATCATTCTATTCTAGTAAGCTTTGATAAATGTTTCTGAAATCTAAAATCTACCGGAAGTTGTACCATTGACCTCTGATCAATATGCTGCTTCTGTAACCACCTCAGCTTCCATGTCAACGGAAGTGTCTTGGTCCACTCATGCCACAGTTATATCTAACACCATGCTAAGGGTAGGTTACTGTAGATATAATCATTACAGTGGAACTCTCTAGTGGTTTGTCTGCAGTGAGACAGGAATCCTTAATTCAACACTTTTTTTAAAAACAGGAGATATGTCAGATATCACATCCGGTTGCCATCTCAAACTCGATGTTCCTCTACTGAGGACGATTTGCTTGACTTTGTAAGTGACGCTATGGTGGTGAACCGGGAAGATAAGCGATGTGTATAGAACGTACGTACCCGGCGGTTTACAGAATAAGCGATAAAAAGGAAAATACCCTGTGAAGCATTTACAAAGTTTACTATAACAGAAAATATAGACATGGGTACGAATGAGTCGATCAGCTGGAATATCCATGAAATGCCTGTCAGTAGAAAGAGTTTGATGTGTATACTGACTTCCCGCCTAGAAGACTTGTTAGAGGAGACGTGAGGGACCGTAGAAATGGTATATACCGTGACACAGAAGAATACAGCATTTACCAGACAGATCAGGAACACAGGCCCAATAAATGTAGCCATAAATGCGGGTAAAGAGGCTATAAAGCATTTCTCATTATTCCCGTACCCGATACTGTCGTACACAATCACAGAAACCGTCACATACACTGCAATGATCAAAGCGGGCACACCTAAACAGTAGAACAGATATCGGAGATGAGTCGAACACTCTCTTCTCTTCGATTTTACTTGTCTTAATGGGAACGCAAACACTTGGAACATGTGGTAGGAACATACATTCATACTGAGAAATGTCGCTAGCCAAAAATAGTGGATCATGAGACCAAATATGGCGCACAGCATTTTGTCCTTTGGCTGTGATATTCCAAGCTGTGTTAGAAACTGCGAGAAAAACAAAGATACTATCAAACACATGTTGTTTTTACCTGGCAGGGTTCTTAGGGATGAGAAGAAACAGTAGGTCAAAAAGGTTGAAAACAGACCCAGAATTGATAAACAAACGCATACGAAAGAGATGACCTGAAGAACAAACATCGCCGTTTCTTTTGTTGAATTTTCATCTGCGACAATTTGTGATGTCATCATTTTTTCAAAGTCATCAAGACAAATCTGTACTCGTTTAGAGATAGATGTTTTTCGAAATTCACCAAAGTGTAACCTCGGTCCGTTCGGCAAGAGGTTGACATGGAAACTACCATCCTCCGATTCGTATTGGTCTCCGTCGATTTCGACGTGCTGGCATGCTAAAAATTTCGAAACATAACTCAACTTATATTTATCAGAAGCATAGCTAAATTCGTCGTGAGAGACAAGGAAACAGCTACCCTCTACGTCAGCCGTGTGTATGGTGGTTGGCAACTCGAGAGCTTCCTGGTCGTACTCAAACTGCACATGACACGTTGTATCCTGTACTATAACACTGAAATTTGATGACGTCAAATTGACCAGTTTTTCTTCAGTGTCTAATCTGTCCATCATAGCAGCAATGAAGAAAGACGTATGAAGCAGGAACTGTTGACGAGTGGGATCAATGCCGGAGTCACACCCTTGAGGAACAAGTAAATACATGGAAACATATTCAATGTCTTCGTGTCTTGTATAAAGTTTTGTGGAAATATGATCTCTGATGACGTTTCGTAATGACTCAATCACCTGGCCCACTGTATAGTTATTCACCTGTGTGAAAGTTACTACCACGCGCACCGCCATTGTATAACCAAGCAACGTCGTGTGGGGTAAAAATGGTCGGCAAGCATTTCTGGTTAGAAACCTCCCTTCCGAGCAACGCAAGGGACGACACACAACCTGCAATAAACAACAAATAAAACAATTACAAGCCGCATAATTAAGAGAAAGCGTCGGTGATATCTCGAACAATCCGAGATCATTACGATTATGTTATCAATACATATTTCAGCCCAAAGGTGTTATTTTGTTAAAAGAAAAACGCTATCTTATACTCTATCATTTACATACATTGACAAACAGATAATTTGTGTCTAGATTCGTACAATGAAAATCGATATCGATACCTACATAGAAAGCAATTTGGCCAGCCTCTTTTCTGTGGTTAAATATGATGCTCTTTAGAAAGATTGCGGCTTAATATGTAATGAAATAATGTGATTTGTTAATAGATTTAAGAAAATATAAATATTCACCTTCTTTGAATCGAAAACTTGATCAGTTGGACATCGTCCAGTGGTGTTCGCGTTAAATGCTTCGCTTAAAACAGAATTATCAGAAAGGGCTCTGAATGTAAACATTTTCCTGTAGGTCGATTTCAGCACTTGCATAACCTCTATCAGTTTATCCTTACACTTGTCTGTGTCAGTGAAGTAGATATTTGGCTGGTAAAACATTTCATTGGATAGTTTGGTGTCCATGGGGTAGCACTCTGCACAGAACTTGTTCTTATAAGTAAGCATGGAAGGTGCCCTTGGGTAGACGTCACATCTGGTTATCATGGTGACATTAGTCGGCTCTATATGCCCCTTCTCATTACAAGTATCTATGGGTGTTTTGCTGTTTGAATTCGTGTTGCAGATTCTACAAAATATGTTACCGTAATCAGATATTCCTTGACTGACATGATGTGTGATGTCTGGTATGTAATTCTCGCACGCCCATTTTACATCCGGGTCGTACACATCCCATTGTCCTGTAACATTACAAGTGGAATACGCATTCCCCTGAAATCGGTCGTTATGTCCATGTGGAGGAAAACTGATAACACATTTCTCATGCCCAATGCCTCGACCGATGTTTTCTATGCTCTTTATAAATTCACTCAACAAATAAAATTCTTCATACTTAATCAGAAAATTGCATTTCAACTTCAAATACAGCGGATTGAATTTGTCTTCTAATAGCGATAGGTGGAAGTTTCCGACGGGAGGTTTTGACGGTAACAAATCACGACCTTCGTTACAGAGGAAACAGTAAACGTTCCGATACACTACTTTCGATTGACTAGATGTGATCGGTATGTTGGCAAAGCTGGCATCAGTGGTAGTGTTCTCGCACGAAATCAGTAAATATGATATATCAGTTGTATTGTAGCACTTAGAAACAACGAAACCAGGCATTTGTTTTGAAATCTGTACGGGAGACGTCATTGCGAAATCGGTGCAGCAATCTGAAGTTAAAACGCACGTGACGTCGCATCCACAGACTGGTAAGTTGTTCGCTACAGAGTCTCGAGCATCCTGAAATGACAGTGTCTTGTCGCAGTACCTTTGATGTCCGTAATGGAGAAAGTGCATAAAAATCAATTTCTGGATACCAACTTCCTTCCCCCTGTCTTCCACAGTCATACCGTGCAATGGGGAATTGTAAGTAGTGTTTGTTGTAGAAGCACGATCCATTGGACTCTCTATGTAGACTTGTAAGTTATCAAAAGATTTTATTCTTAGCTTGAATAATGATTCCATCCAAACACGTTCATCTGACTCAATATCAATGGTTGAATCTAAGAAGATTTCGTCGTTATTAGTATTTCTGTTACATTGGAAACAAAAGACGTTTTTGAAAGGATATGCTTCCGGGGCCGCTGGAGATGTTTCACACGCATGCTGGAGGCTTTTATCGAAGACCGCCCATTCTCCTGTTTGGTTGCAACTACCGACTACGTGATCATTCCTCCTATGTTGCCCTGGGTTACACATATAACAGAAAATGTTTTTGTAGTACTTGTAGCGATGATCCACTGTTCGACATGCCCATTCTATGTCTGGGTCGTACTTGACCCACCTTCCTGTGGTATTGCAGCCTTCTATGTTTTCAATACTCCTTAATTCCGGTCTATCACAGTTTACATACTTTTGATTGTTCGGAGATCGGTACATCATAGAACAAGACTTTCCCTCAATCATATCTATGATAGCATCGTACGAAGTTAGATGATTCAAATCAATCATACCCGGACAGTCTATATTCAAAGACCAGGGAATAGTGTTCTCTTCCTTAAAACATTCAGCACAGAACTTGTTTCTGTAAACAACTAAGCTACTGGCAGACGCCACTGGAGTCAGTGTTAACTTCTCCATACTGCTGTATTTCCCGGAGCATTTTTCGGCTAATGCCGCTGGCGTATTTGCCGGACATTCTATAAGAGCCAATGCATGTTTCCTTACGTTGTTCGGATTGACTATAGCAAGATTTAGACACGCTAGTCCTGGATGTGGAAACAGAACATCCGGGCAACAGTCTCCTCGTTCAATACATTGTCTGTCACATGCGCAATGGGGACAAATGTCTGGACCGTCGTAAATTCTTGCAGGAAAGACAATGTCGTAAATTGCAGACCAGTTGCAAAGATGTGAGTGTCCACACATCAGGGCATATTGTTGTAATATATTGGTGAAATTTACGGCGTACGTGCGTTGTGTCAACAAAAGCAAAACGGCGACTAGGATTTCCATTCTAGGTTTTTCTTCTTTATTGGACATGATGGGGTTCTAGACTACACGTCTGTCTAGTTCAACAACATTATTCTGTATGAACGAATCGGGTATATGGCTGTCAAAAAGTTGACGTCACCGCATAAATGAATTTGATCTGTAAAATAAACAGGTAATATATAGAGTATTCCAAGTCAAGGTATTGCCATTAAAATAAACTGTATTACGTGAAATAGGAATAAAATGAGCCGTTATAGGCTGTTTTTTTCTAATTGTAAAGTCGAACTTACGAAAACTTGTCACGCTAGTTATAAACCATATTAAGGTCTGTAAACGGATGTAAATTGCTATGTTACGATGCTAGAAGTACTGAGATTCCATTCATGATTTTAACAAGATTATGAATATTACCTAGTTTCATGAATATTAACTAGTTTTATGTATATGCATATATTATTATCATGAACACCACATTATTTTCACAGTTTCTCAAACATTCCTTTTCACATAGTGAGTTTCTATAAATCTTAATAGAAACAAAGAAAATGAGAAATTTCCTCATTTTCAAGAACCGATTATATATGCTCTTGAAGAAATTTCTGCTCACAAGCTACAATCGAATTTATTTTATGAAACAAAACTGTTCTGCATAATCCAATCTTTGGAATAAAAGTTAGAAAAATCGTGCAATTTTTACAGAATACGTATGATGTAGTTATGATCTCTGCAATTTTCCAGAAATGAATGACTTCACTTAAGAAATATCATTAGAATGTTCTTTAAAAAAACATTTATTCAGAAATAATCAACATTTATGTGTGCATTGTGGTGGAATATATAAAGAGGGCAAGAAAATATCGACACGACACGTAATAGGATACAGCAACCCTATTCTGTTTGGGGGAGTGTTGGTTAGATAAGAAAGCGCGGACGTTTACCATGGGAAATCACGCGCACATGTTAAATATAAACTGAATAATTATATTGCAATGGAATTCAAATGTAAGAAGTCGCTATTTAAAGTTTATTAAAACAGACAACAAACGCACTTCAAAGGTCTGACAGCAGAAACGTTTGGTACTTGAATTAAAAGAAGTCCATATTTTATTTCAAGCGACAGAAGAAATGCCGGTTCAGCTACTATAGATATCATAGGATTAATATAAACCGTCCTAATACATTACAAAGCATTCACAGGATATCTATATTTCTTCACGTGAACAGACGATGATTTGTCATCAGTTTCTGCAATAAAAAATGAAACACCACATTTACAGCAATCGGATATCGCATATGGGGGGAGAACGCTTACTCTTCCGGAACGCACGGTCTCAAAAAATTCTACCTTTTGGTATTAATGCTATGGCCTGTCTTACTTCAGTAAGTATATATGCGTTACCCTTGATGACTCGTGTGAAGATTGTATTTAGGTAAAACTAAATAATGACGACGGTGAAGTATTTGTTATATGTGTATGTCATCTCCCTCCTGAAGATTCCTCACGAGCTTCTGACGCGGAGACTTTTTCAAGTAACCTGATCGAAAAAGTCTACATGTACCAAAGCTTAGGTCATATTTACATTATGGGGGACTTAAACGCAAGATGTAGGGACCTTACTGATCATGTGGAAGGTGTCGATGATATAGCAGATCGCGTTGTTATCGACAACACTATACACGATCACGGTTATCAGCTAACAATTGATTTCCTCTCTGATACCAACTTTTGTATTGCTAACGGTATAACAGGTAACCAAAACTATACCCAAATTTGATCAAAAGGAAAGTCTGTAGTTAATTACTTATTTGTACCTCATGAAGAACTAAACAGTGTTAATGAGTTTAAGGTTAAACTCATTCCGGAGATTAGTGAAAATCTGTCGTTAAATCATATCGATCGTATTCCTGATCATTCCTTACTAGAATTCAATATTCAATTATGTAATGGAGAAAATCAAATGGACGTAACAGAGACTAGGTATAACGGACCTCAGCGCTTCAATACTAAAACTGTCCCAGATTTTTTTTATGAAAGACGATGAAGCAATGAGAAATTTTTAACGACTATTGACGAAATAGAACATGACATAGAGGTCTCCTCAGATGCTAACCGGGCATACAGTCGCTTTACCAAGTTAATCGAAAGTGAAATGGAGGCTAAGCTACCAAAATTGAACGTTAGAAATGGTACGGGGAGTATAAATTCAACACTTCGACGTAAACCGTAATGGAATGATGAGTTACAGAATCTAGTACACAAGCAAAATGAGAGTGAAAGGTTATGGTTAAAGTGTAACGGTCATGTAAGTTTAAAGCGAACACTAAGGTATCAATACATAAACAACCGTAAACTGTTTAACAAAATACTTAGACGTGATAAACGACGATATCAAAAATCAAACAAGACGAACTGCTTGACATGTGTAATAATTCCCGTTACGATTTCTGGAATAAGATAGGCCAGCGAGGTATGCAAAAAAACAGACTGAATACCATACCAAATACAATGAGAGATGCAAATGGTAATATAACGAAAAACTCTAGTGAATCTCTAAAGGTATGGTACGACTCTTTCTAGAACCTTCAAAGGTCTGACATGACAGACGTTACTTATGGAAAAGATGATATTGATAAGTTGTTGGGACGCAAACTTGATATTGACAGCAGTCTATTGAATTTACCAATATTACGTCAAGATGTTGAAGATTCGGTTTATCGTGCCAAGTTAAACAAAGCGGCTGGTATTGACAATATATAGAGCAATGTCCTCAGAAACCCAGCTAGTATTGGCCTTTTACATACTATAATTTTTAATTGCTTTGATAATGGTAGAGTTCCGGATAAGTGGATTCAATGTATTATTAACCCTATTCTAAAAGCAGGGAAGGATCCACTAGATCCAATTAGTTATAGAGGAATTGCACTTATATCAATCCCATGTAAAATGTATGCCGACGTTTTAAATAATCGGTTATTAAAATGGTTAGACACAAATGAATTACTAGCAGATAAACAGAACGGGTTTAGAAAGAACAGAAGTTTCTTAGACCATCAGTGTATATTGTACTCTGTTTTGAATAACAGAAAGTCAAGAAAAAAATCCACTATTGCATGTATTGTTGATATGAAAAAAGCATTTGATTGTGTGAACAGAGATCTTTTATGGGCTAAGCTAGAACATTTTGGTATAAATGGTTGTTTTTAAATGCTATCAAATCATTAAATTTTAACTATGAATGTAGAATTAGAGTAAATCGTGTTTTAACGCCACCCAAGGTCTGAAACAAGGTTATAATGCCTCGCCAACAATTTTTTCTATGTACATAAATGATTTAGCAAAATATATTAATGATTTGAAATGCGGTATAGATATTGAATCGTGTATTAGCTCCATACTTCTGTATGCTGATGACATTGCACTCATTGCCCCCGATGAAAATTCTATGCAGCGGATGCTATATGTTTTAAATAAGTGGTGAAAAAGTGAAAGATCGAAGTTAATCAAGACAAAACTAACATAGTCCATTTTAGAAATAATTCCACCAATATTACTGATTATACATTTTTATGTGGTAACATAACTGCAACTTTGAATAGCAAATATAAGTACTTAGGACTCTGGTTTGAGGAACATTTAAATTTGCATTTTGCTATCAGAGAACTCTGTAAATCGGCTAGTAGAGCACTTACAACTTTATATACAAAATATATTCACATGCCGGTGAAATGACCTATGAAGTATTTAACAAGTTATATAAAACTTTAATTGAGTCGGTTCTTATTTATGGATGTGGATTATGGGGTACATACTATACAAGGCAAGTAGATATTTTCTAGGAGCCTCCCGTCGAATAAGTAACTTAGCACTCAGAGGTGAAATGGGATGGCACTCTTGCAATGTAAGTCAAGTTTTAGAAACGACACGTTTATTTTTAAGAATAAAGTATTGTGATGATAACAGACTCATGAAAAAAGTGCATCTATGGTCCGTTAGTCTGAAGAAATCTTGGGATTCTAGAATTTTGAAAATGATTGATGACAACAATTTGAATGAAATTGTAAACTCAACGTTTTCTGTTAAACACAAGATTAGACGAGTGAAAGAAAAACTAATTATTTCAGATGCTGATGAATGTTACGAGTCTATATGGAATGATAGTAGTAATATAAATGGTAACAAGTTGAAAACTTACAGAACTTTTAAATCAAATTTAATACCGGATTCATATGTCAAGCTTGTTAGACAAAAGAGCAAACGAAGAGTACTTTTCAATTTTAGATGTGGCTCTCTACCTGTAGCAGTGGAAACTGGCAGATGCGCCAAACCTGTGATTCCACTAGAGGAACGTACAAATGTAAATAACTGTATAGAGGATGAATTACACTTCTTAATTGAATGTAATGTATATCATGACATAAGATCATCCTTATTTAATGTAGCAAATAATATAAGAAATGATTTTGCAAGTCTTAATAACACTGACAAATTTAATTTTATAATGTCTTCCGAGGAATTACAAATTCCACTTGCAAACCACTTATATGATATGTACAGAAGACGTAGCAGTCTATGTGATTAACTATAATTTTAAACAGTGTCTTGTTAGCCATTTTAGGCTGAATATCACAAACAAATAACATTTTCTATTTTACGCATTTGTTAAATATGATACCAGGTGTCAATCAGAAACATTTTTTATGAAAATAATCTTCCGTTTAAATTATAATTAGCTACTAGTTAGTGTGAATTTAGCAAACCTCGCTGGTAGGGGGCTCCCCAACCCTTGGAAACCTAAATTTCACTACAATGTAGAAATAGGAAATTATTCATTTTATTATCACCATTGTTATTGGGTTTTTAAAAGACATCATGTTTTAAGGCAGCAAATGTAAAAGAAACCTTTTAACTATTATATTATTTAATATGTAAGGACAAAATCCAGAAAGTTTGTTAGGTAGAGGCTGTCCCAATCACCTGCTCTCTGAATTGGCACATGTGACAGTTTGTTTTAATTTATTAATTCATTATGTATAATAGCCGTTCTTAA